AGCGGAAACCCCGCCTCTATTCCCCCCTTGTCCCCTTCCTCAGGATTGCGGAGTTCCTGGCCAGTGAACTCCACAGGGAAGAGGCATGGAGGCGGCAAAAGCTGGGGTATCCGTGGGCCGATAATGGAGGAATAGCGCCCCCCAGGGAGACTGGATCACAGGATTTAGTGTTACAGCTCAAGACAAGTGACTCAGCTCAGATCTCAGTGATTCAGCTCCAGCTCCAAGTCTAAGTGATCCAGCTCCAAGTCTAAGTGAAGTGATCCAGCTCCGAGTCGGAGTGAAGTGATCCAGCTCCATCTTTATTGGGGTAAAACTAGGACTATTTATAGTGTAGAGACAGCAGAAGAAGCCTTAGCTGATAGGTACTTTTAGGATGCCTCATTTACATAGGGCGGTGGGCTTCTATCAGGCTATCAGACAATGCCTGATTAAAAACCTAGTAGCTCCTGTGCCGGAGGGCATGTATTTGTGGCGAGCACTTTAAAAGAAGAGTCAGGGAGGATGCCAGGAAGGCACTCTGCCATGAAAAGGAATCTGCAGCACATGGTTTCCGAGCTCGTGAGCTATCCAGACGTGAAGAGACTTCTACTTTGCATAACAGAGGACCCCAACACAATTCTAGGCTGGCAAGTCATTCCCCTTCCAGTCATCATCATTTAGACGGACAAGGAACCCCAGAATTGCCAGAGTAGGCGAACACACATACCATTCGCACTGCTGTTCCTACATTTTCACTTTTGTCACACCAGGTATGTGAAGATTACCCTCTACCCCACCGCCAGCAAGTACCATAGTGATGGACACAAGCTGGGCGTTCTCTTAATTCAGTTCTGCCATGGCGCTGTCTACCTGGAGGCAGCATTAAATGCCACAGAGCAAGGGCTCTATCCGAAAGACTGCCTTCCACCAGATGCTAATTGCAATTGTCAAGTACTTTTGTTTTGTTTTTACAGTGGTCGGAAGCAAACCCAGGGCATGTGCACAGTAAGCAAGCACTCTGCTGCTAATCTGCACCCTAGGCCCCCAGGTAGTTTGAAATGGCCAACCATATATATAAACTTGCGGTTCTACAACCCCTTTTTGTTTAAAATTTATTTTTATCATTTATGTATGTCTGTGTGAGCATATGTGCATGTGTGGGGGGATGCCTGAAGAGGCCAGAAGAGAGCATTCAATCCCGTTGAGCTGGAATGACAGGCAGTTGTGAGCTGCTGGACATAGTGCTGGGACAAGAGCTCCAGTCCTCCTGAGAGAACAGCAAGCCCTCTTCACTGAGACATCTCTCCAGCCTCCCCTCTGTGGGCTTGATTAATTGGCTACTACAGAGGCTCACAGTACTTGAGGACACATTCATTTACCAATTCATTATAAAGAACATGACCACAGAGAAGAACTGCCCAGGATACAGTGGGGAGGAGGGGCTCAGAGCTTTCACACCCGATCCAGATCACTGGGACCCAGGATCCTCTACCTGCTCTGCTCTCCAGAAGCTTCTCCAAACCCTGACCTCTGAGCTATGTGGAGACATCCCATATGCGTGTGATTCATGAATAATAACAGGAATCAGCTCAGCTTCCAGTCCAGCTCCCCTCCAATAAGGCTGAGTGAGGGTGAGGCTGCCAGCTCCAAAGTCTGATCCTGCCCTGGTCTTTCAGGTCTTTCATCAGCCCCCATGTTGATGCCTCCTAAGGGACCAGCAGTCATCTCAGCATAGAAAGATGCTTAGCACTTGGAAAATCCCCAGCATTTTGGTCCGGTCATAGGGAGGAAACGGGGTTGAGACGCAAACACACATCACAGTTCTCATGACAGACTGTGGTCCTACTGTGGGGAAGGCAAAGAGTATGTTTGGCTCTCGCCACACTCACAAGAGAATCTCTGCTGACAGAGCCAGACCAGGGTAGGGAGAGACTTGGCAAATACCTGCCCCACCTCCCCTGGGAGTCACTTCCTGTGGACCCCGTCCACAGTCAGAAACCCCTGTGCTTACCCCACACCACGAGTAACCTTACAGGTCCATGAATTGGGCTATGGGTGGGAACTGAGGTGGCTGACCAGAGAGATGACACATGGACAGGCAGGTGGAAGGGCTTGGACAGATGGAGACAGTGCAAGGGTAGGTAAAAAGCAGATGAGGAGAGGTGGGATGACATGGTTGGTGGGGGGGTGCGTGGGAGGAGCAGTAGATGGTGCGTAGGGTGGGCTGGATGGTGTGGAGGGGTGTTGAGTGACAGCTCACACCTGAGAGGACCAGTACCCCTGGGGGAACCCGTCTCCTTTCCCTCAGGGTTGATAGGCTCCTGGATGGAGCTGGGGAATTCTCTGAGTTCCTGGAATGGCAGAAGAAGATGCAGGCAAAGGACCGGGAGGAGCGGCTGGCTGCAGAAGAGTGCCGGCGGCTGCAGGGAAAGCTGAGCCACGAGGAGGCCATCCTGGCCCGGCAGAACCTCATGCAGGAAAACAAGCAGAAGGCCAACCAGAAGAAGGAGGAGGTAACGTATCCTGTGGAGCAGCCAGAGCCCCCAGAGGCCCATTGAGCAGTTTGATTTATGGGAGCCATGGGCCATAGCCATGAGAGAAACCATCGGCCTGCACCTTGGCTGGCTAGGGCCTGGCAGGAGCAATAACCATAGGTTTTCAGGTTGATTCCAAGTCATCGCCAGCCAGGACCTAGAGGAAGCCAGGGTTCCTCTGTCCCCCTCAATAGCTAGGGGGTCAGAAGCATTCCCTGTTGGCTGAGTAGACCATCTGAGCAGTACCTCTGCTCCTGCTAAGGGGCTTCCCAGGGCCAGTGGCTCCCAGCAGGTCCAAACTTTAGCTTTGTCTCTCTGTAGATATGTTCACTGAGCACTCAGGGGCAAAGGCTGCACTCAAAATCACTCACATTATTTCTTTGAGTAGACTTAAATAGTCTGTATTCAATTTTAGGATTTGCTTTTTATTTGTTTTTTGTTTGGCTGTTGGTACTAGGAACTGAACCCAGGGCTTTGTGCGTGCTAAGGACATACTCTGCCTGCTTTCCCCACCATAAACGTCTGGTGTGACGTGCTTCCTGTGGCTCATTGTCTCACCACGTCTCCCAAATTCTGACATGTTGTGTTCCACCTCAAATAGCAAGGCAGTGTGCTTCTTCCCATTTCCCTGGGACTTCCTCTTTGCCCAAGAATGGTTTAGAAGTGTAGTGCCTAGTTTCCCAGCATTTGGAGATTTTCCTATTATCTCTCTGTTAATAAATTCAAATTCAATTCTACTGTGGTCAGTGAACACACTATAAGGTCTCTCCTTGTGACTTTTTTGTTTTTTTGATTTATGTTTTCAGATGAAGTCTTGCTATGTAAGCCAGGCTGGTCTCAGTGGTGCCCAGCATTGGTCTGTGCACACTAATAGACTGGTTAGTAGACCAGATTACAAACATAACATTGGGCACCATGCCCAACAGAGATTTCAATTTCAGTTTGTTGAGTTGTTGCTTTTTGTCTGGGATGTTGGGTTCCGTGTTCCATGGGCACTTGAGGAGAGTGTGTTCTTTGTTTTGGCTTCTTCAAAGCCTATTACATCTTGCTGATTGCGTTCTCTACATATGTGCTGATTTTCTGTCTAGCTGACCTCTCGGCTGCTGAAGAGCGGTGTACTGAAGTCACAACTGTAACTGAATTGTTTCACTTCTTTCTGTTTTATTAGGTTTTTGTTGTTGTCTTTGGTTGTTTTGTTTTTGTTTGTTTTTTGGTCTTTTTGAGACACAGTCTCCCTGCACCCTAGCTGTCCTGGAACTCACTATGTAGACCAGGCTGGCCTTGAACTCACAGAGGTCCACCTGCCTCTGCCTCCGAGTGCTGGGATTAAAGGTATGTGCCACCACGCCCGGCTCCTTCACTGTGACTCTGTTGCCTGATGCATGAATATCTATAGCTACTATGTCTTCTTTGTAGCTTTGTATCATGCCATATCTCTGTCTCTGGTAATTTTCTGTCATCTACTTTACCTGATACTAATTCCTGCTTTCCTTTGGTTAATATTTGCATGATGTATATTTTCTGTTCTTTGGCCTTCAGCCTCTCTGTATCATAAAATTTGAAGTCAGTTTCTTATAGGTAAGCATGTACTTAGATTATGTTTGTAATCTAGTCTACTAATCTACGAATTAAGAGTGCACAGACCAAAATAATATACTTATTTTGTTAGAACTTAGGGCCACCATTATTTATTTATTTATTGTGTGTATGTGTGTGTGTGTGTGTGTGTGTGTGTGTGTGAGAGAGAGAGAGAGAGAGAGAGAGAGAGAGAGAAAGACATGTGAAAGAGGAAAAGCACATATGTCATAGTGTGTGTGTAAAGGTCAAAGGACAACTCTTAGAAGTCAGTTCTCTCCCGTTACCTTATCCATTTGAGGATGGAATTCAAGTCATCAGGCCTATACACAAGTTCCTCTACCCACTGAGCCATCCCACCAGCCATGGTCTCACTCTGTAGCCATGGCTGGCTTGGACTCACTATGTAAACCAGGCTGGCCTTGAACTCAGAAATCTGTCTGCCTCTGCTCCCAGGTACTGGGATTAAAGGCATTTGACACTATGCCTGATCCCTATATAGCTTTTTAAAGCAGCAGCTCAAGATATTAAATACGCATGCATTAGTCACTTTTCTATTACCATAACAAAATACCTGAGATAATCCTTCAAAAGAAAGGTTTTGTTTGGCTTACAGTTTTGCAGATTTGAGACCGTGGCTGGTTGACTGCACTCTTTTGGGCCTGTAGCAGCACACGAGGTAGCCACCGATGGTGGAACAGAACAACAGGAAGCAAAAGATAAAAGGCCAGTGGCCCAGCTCCCCTTTCAAGGTTGTGCCCTCAGTAACCTAAACGTTCTACCACCTCCTAACGGTGCCATAGGCTGTGCAACTTGGGGTGGGGGTGGTGGCATTTAAGATCTAAATTATAACAGTGCATAGATTATCATCATCTTCTGAAGATGTGTAATTTTGCTAACTCAAATGAGGTGTGGAAATCTGACACACACATACCCAGGCTAGATGTGGTGGTTCACACCTGTAATCCCAGAACTTAGAAGAGGGAGGCAGCAGGATCAGGAGCTCAAAGTCATCCTCAGAGTGTGAGGCTAGCCTCAGCTACAAGAGACCCTGATTCAAAAAAGGGGTGGGGAATGGCTCAGTGGATAAAAGTGCTTACTGTGCAAGCTGGATGACCAGAGTTCAATCCCTGCATCCCAAGATGCAATGGGAAAAGCAACTTATGGGAGTTGTCCTATAACATGTCCTCCATACGTGTTGTAGCACACACATGCCCACATTCACACACATGTATTATAAACACAATAATAAAAATTTTGAATTAAAAAATTCTCTTGCAGAGAGACCCAGGTTCAAATTCACATGGCAGCTAACAATCATCTCTTAACTCCAGTTCCAGGTGATCCAAGGCCCCCTCTGGCCTCCTCAGGCATTGCATGACATGGGCACACACACATGCAGGTGCAACACTCATACACATAAAATAAACAAAAAATTTTTTAAATAGAACATTGTTTTAGGGTAGCTCTTCTGATAAAGCCTTGGTTCTGCTCCTGGAGGACACTTTTGCTGGGTGTAGCTTCCAGGGTTGGCTTTCCTTTCAGCACCTGAAAAAATACTACCCAACTTCCTCTGGTTTCTTGGGAGAATCCACTGCCATCAGACAATTCTTTTGTCACAGACAAGGCATCAGTCTTTCCTGTGGACACTTCAGGATATTCTGTTTTCACTTTGCAGAAGTTTGGCTATGGCCTGCCTTGGTGTGCTCCAGCAGTCTGAGCCGCTTTTTTAGCTCTCTTCTACTTGATGTCTCTTGGGGCTCTGATGACACAAACAGGAGGTATTAGTTCTACCCCACAGTCTCCAAGACTCAGTGCAGGGTTTCAGCTTATTTCCTGTTATGGTAACCTCCATCGTTCTGTCTTCATGTTCATGGATTCTTTACTTTGTACCCTCCATCCTGCTACTGAATTCAACTCTATTTGTTTTCTCATCGCTGTGAACATACACCTGGCACTTACGTGAAAAAGGATTTCTCTGGTTCATGGTTCAGAGACTTAGTCCATCATGGTGAAGAATGCAGTTCTATCCACAGCAGCAGGAGCGGGAGGAAGCAGAAAGCTAGGACTAGAATTAAAAGGATATCATCTTCAAGGCCTGCCTACCTTAACCCCCTTTTGCTAGCAAGGCCACATCCCAAAGGTTCTGTGACAGTGCCACCAAGTTGAGATCAAGTGCTCAAACATGAGTCTGTTGGGGATATTTCAGACTGTAAGAATAGCATCATCTATATCTATTGAGAACTTAAATCTATTTTGTTTTCGGGGGTTGAAGAGATGGCTCAGTGGTTAAGAGTACTTGTAGAGGACCTGGTTTGGTTCCCAGCAACCACATGGCGGCTAATAACTGTCCCTCGAGTTCCAGGAGGTCTGATGCCCTCTTCGGGCCTCCAGGGGCATCACATGCACTTGGTGTACTTACTTGCATGTAGGCAAAACACTCATACATAAAACAAAAATTTTGTTTTTCCCATTCTAAAATTTCCATTTTTTCTTTACTCTCTCTTTGGCGAGATTTCCTTCTTTGCTGAAGCTCTGTCTCACCTCCAGCCACATGTGTGACTGCTTGCAGAGCATTCTGGCAATGGCTTTTTACCATCTGTCAAGCCTGACGTCTGCCTCATTGTTGACATTGGATGGCTGTCCCTTTTATTTAGATTGAGACTGCCCTGGCTTTCTGTGTAGTGAGTGGCATTTTATTGGAATCTGGACATTTGAGAGCATGGTATTAATGAGACTCTGGATCATATTTAAATCCTATTTTGACCAGTCATGGTGGCACAAGCCTTTAATCCTAGTACTCAGGAGCCAGAGGCAGATATATCTCTGTGAGTTTGAGGCCAGTCAGTTCTATATATTGAGTTCTAGGCCAGCCAAGCCTGCATAGTGAGACCCTGTCTCAAAGAAAAAAACAAAAAACTCATTTGGCTGGCCCTCTGACAGCAGCCTGGCAGGGCAGGTGAGGTATATCCATGCTTCTACAGGTGGATGCCAAAATGCAGGTTCCCCAAGTCACCTCTACAGGTCCTGTGTGTGAGTTGGGGGTGCGGTTTCCTTGTTACTGCTGGCACCAGACTTCAGCCACATTGCCACCCATACCTCTCTGACTAGGAAGCATAGGGAAAGCCTTAGAGCGGCCCCTCACCTGCCCTGTTGTCGTCATGCAGGGGTGACAGGAGTGGCCTCCACACTGCTGAGCAGGTGGAAGGATGTCTCTAGTAGCTTCCTCTGAGAAGGGGATGGGACAATGTTAACTCCAAGTGGAGTTGGAAGTCTCTTGACTCTTGGGGGCCAGGTCCCTCCTCAGCTTCTCTGACTCCACTCAGCAGAGAACTGATGCCTCTCACAATGGCCTGGTGAAGATCAGGGCCTCAGCCCCACTCAGCTTTGGCTGACGTAGAGGG